GGCTCAGAGAGAGAGTTGTCCTCCGTTCTCCACACACCAATGCCATAGCAAGAGTGTATACACACACACACACACACACACACACACAGAGAGAGAGAGAGAGAGAGAGAGAGAGAGAGAATAAATAAATTAATTAAAAAAAACAAAACAAAAATAGAGGGTTGAAGAGATGGTTCAATGGGTAAAACACTCGCTGTGTAAGTTTGAAAACCCAAGTTCAAATCCTCAGAACCCCTGTAAAACCAGATACAGCAAAAACATACCTGTAATCTCATTGTTTCTATAGAGACGTGGGAGGTGAAGATGATAGGATCTCAGAAGCATTCCGACCAGGTGGCCTGTTAATAAAGAAACTCTTCCTCGAACAAGGGGAAAGCTGTCCTCTGCTCTCCACTGACCGGCACTCACAGCGGACACACAGATGACAAAGGTACGTAAGACATTGTCAGAAGAAAGAACTAAGAATGTGCTCTTAGGTCGGCTCCCTTAAAGACTGGTCTCCGAGCCAATGGGAAGAGTGTGCACAGATGTTTCATTTGCAGCTGAGCACTCCACAGGCCCTTATTCTCTATGCTTTGTCCAGTTTTGAGTAAGAAAATTAAACTTTTCCGCACAGAAAATGGACATGAATATCAGAATACATCTTACAATCTTAAAAACTAACTTATAAAGGGGGTGAGAGGGACTCTATCGCAGCTCAGTCCTTGAAGAACCTGCTGTGCCAGCAGGATGACCAGTGTGCCAAGCCCAGGATCTGGGCAAAAGCAAACCCGCCAGGGAGGCTGAGACAGGATTGTCTTGGAGGCCCCATTAGAATGAGGAGCAGGGGACCTGGGGAGTCAACTCGGGTGGTCATGACCTGCAGCAAATACCTTATCACAAGCCCATCTCCCAGGGCCTATTTGAATGTTTCAGGAGAACACACATCTCTTGTGTAATTTAAAAAATTGGAAAGGGAAATATAAGGCTGCTCATCTCCAGGAAATGCAAAGGTCCTTGCAGGTCAGATGGTCACACAGGTACCGGGTGACAAGACAGAGGTGGAGGCGTGGCAGCCTAGCTACAAGCCCCTCACCTGAAGTCAGCTCTAGGGTAGTGAAGAGTCTTCTCTGGAAGAAAAAAGACTGGCGACAGCCACTACCCAGACCCTGGGAGTCTGGGGTGATGCTGTAACCCAAAGTCACTCAGCAGTGACCCAGGATGCCCACCTGAAGTAGACTGTTTTATGCAGGCAATGGAAGAAGCCTTGTAGACGCTACGTGAATGCTGTGTTCTGGGCTGAGGCACAAACATAACCCTGATTTTTGTAGAAGAAGCTGGAGCCTGGGCCTTCTTCCCACTTCCTCGGGGATGGGGGTCCCCTCTACAGAAGATACTGTTGAAGTTTTCTCAGAACTTGGGCCTCAGAAGCTTCTGTGTTGCAGGGACTGTTGGAAGGCACTACCAGAGCTTTGGGCTTCTGGGAGCTGCTGAGGCCTACGGAGAAGGTCAGCCCTTCCCTAGGAGAACCCAACTATTTGTGGGTTACTCAAGTTGGGGATACTGACAGCATGTGCCCACGTATGGCCTGCCCGGTACACTTTTAAGTGGTGTCCAGCTCTCCTAGCTGTCGCAGCAGCCCCGGGACAGAGGGCTTGACAACTGCTTAGCACTGTCTGATCTCTATATTTTGTAGCTTTCATTTTAGCATTATTTTGACCCCGCAAGGGACATGATTCTTTAGCCTTTCCAGACAAAGGTCCCCTAAATTAATGAGCCACACAAAAAAATCACTTTTCGTGCACACTAATTTTTCATGGCTGCTCCGAGGCCTGCACAGTCACACGGGAAAATGCGATTCTCAGGGTCTGCTCTCTGGTCCCTCGCTTCCACAGCCCACTTAGGGGAGGACTTGGGCCTGCTGAAGAAACATTATTTGGCAAATAATCTGATCAATTTCATTTATATTCCTGGCAATGAAATGTTAAGCGCCTACCTCACCGTTACATCATCTGAATAGAGCAGAGTCCGCAGGAGGAGATTAAATTTTGGAAGCAAAGATCCAATTTCATGGAAATAAAACGCCTTACCTAAGTGCATTTAAAAACTCTTTAGTAGAGTAGTTAATACCAATTAAATTGTGGGCTGTCTGAATCAATTCAGACATGTTTTGTTTTTCTTCTGTAATAAGTAACTCAGGTTGGCTTTATTATTATTTTTATTTTTGCTGTTTTTTTTTCATCTGAATTCAGCCATTCAGTCTTGATATTTCCTGTGTTGCTTAGAAAGCAGTACTGGGAAATGCCATAAAGCTATGCCAGGTTAACACTTTGTGTAAGATAGGAGCTGGCATGCCAGGTACATCTAGGCTTGATTAAGTGCAAAGGTCATACTCAACAAAGCTATTTCCAATAAAAATAATTGAAATTAACTCAACTTCTGGCCCAAAGCTTTTGAGTGGCATGGAAAGAACATAGGCCAGCAGGGTGGTTTGAGACTTAGCAGACAGAGTGGAAACCAACAGTTCCCCTCAAGCCAAAGCTGTCCACACTTGAACTCAGTAGAGCAATGATGCCCTGGTTTGCACTCAAGAGCCAGACTAGTTAATCCTGTCCCATCCAAGCGTCACTTCTAATGTGTTATTTCTCACTGCATCCATGGCTGGGTCCTATGCATCATCTTTACATTTGTAAGGGCAAACACAGAGCGAAAGAGTCCTGTACGGAAGCCTACAACAATGGGGGAGCCACAGTCCTCAGGGGATACCTGTGTGCATGGGGCCTGTGCTACGTGACACACTGTTGTTCTTTGCAGCCGCAGCGAGGCAGCTCTTCCTCCCTCCCGGCTGGGGAAACTACCCAGAACAGTGAGGTGGCCCTGCCAAGGTTACAGTGATGGAGCAGCACAGCAGGACCGGACCCCAGACCTCCAGTTCCTTGGCGTTTCTTTTCCTTCCTGCAGAACAGACGGCAAACAAAGAGCGGGAGAGAATGCGAACTTTAAATGCTCAACGCCGTCTCTTTTTTCCTCTCCCTATAATGGGTTATTCACAAATGTTCCGGGCCTAGCCTTCTGGAGGAGTCCTTATTCAGTAAAAACCACACAGGCAGAAGCCCCAGCTTCACTCTTGAATTCTTTCTTGCCTCTTAAATAGGATCTTAAATAGTACCTGCCTCATAAGACTGGGGTGGCAGGGTTGGGTTTGCACCCAACATTGGCCTCTTGGGCATGAGTTGTTTGGGGTACATCCTCACCCTTAAGATAGGAGTAAGCAACACTGGTCGTTTGGAACAGAGAACGCTGGGGTGCAGCCTGGAGCGTTTGGGCAGTGTGCCTGCTGCCTCCCCTGTGTTCCTACGTCAGGAACCCTCCAGGGAAGTGAGGGAGCTCTACCTTTTCTTCTTGACACAGCTAGATTCCTACCTTGTGACCCATGGCCTTCAGTCTACTTATATAGTATGAAATAAGACTAAAATTAAAAAAAAAGAATATTTGGGGGGACTTTGATCTTTGGTTGTTCTCTCACTTAAGACAGACAGCCTTTCTGAAAGGAGTTGCATATGTTCCTGAGTGCAAGCTCTTTTGGGAAATCTCCACACCCCCTCACCCCAGGGTTTCTCTATGTAGCTCTGTCTGTCCAGGAACCAGCCTGGTCTACACATAGTGAGTTCCTGGACAGACAGAGCTACACAGAGAAACAGGATTTAAGAGGTGAGGGGATGTACTTGGTAATAGGGGAAAAAATTATTAAAATGCCCATATTTTATTAAATGCAGCACTCTCGGGTGACCAAGAGCCTGGCATGGAGACAGGAAACTCGGGAGCACATGCAAAACCCGGAACCATGTGTTCCTACTCTGGCTGCCCACTTAAATACCCTGTGGGAGTGGTCCTCATCCTCCCCTGGGGAGGGGTCAGGACCCGGCATGCTGGGATTTGGAGTCCAGACCAAAGCAACTCCCAGGCCAGGGGGCTGGGATGGATGCCCAGGGCTGGGGTGATGCTCCCAACTTAACACTGTGGGCGTCAGCCATGATAAACTAAGTCTGGGCAGATCACCCAAAGGAATCTTTATTTCCAACCATTATCACCTGGGACTCTAGCTATCGATGAATTTAAATGGAGTCTGGAGTCTCAATAGTTTACCCTGAGACAATGCCTGGCAGGCTGACATTGCCCGACCACCACCCAAGAGCAGACCATTCAAAGGAAAAGCCTGGTATTCTAAGAGTTGTAGATGAGACACCTGTCAGCACACCTCAACAGGACATCCCTAGACAAATATCAGCCAATCAGGGGCCCTAAACCCCAGAGACCCCTCACCCCCACCTCTACTACTATAAAAACCCTATTCTAATTGAACTTGGGGCTCTCTGGATATTCCAATACGTTGGACATGTGGAGAGACTGAGTTTGCAAACTTGATTAAAATAAAGGCTCTTTGCTTTTACATATGGGACTGGGTCTCCTTTGTTGACTTTTGTGGGGACCCTGCAGATTTGGGCATAACAATATTACATTTGGTGTGCTGGTATTTTAGTGTCTTGGAGTAGCCACCTGGTGGCTCTAGGAAGCCTCTTGCCTTCCCAGCTGTGGGTGGCCAAGAAAGGAGCAGGGGCTGGGGGAAGGACCTGGGATTCACCAACTATCTGGATTCTGGAAATTTAACTGCATGTGTGCCATAACATGCTGGAAGTGGGAATTTCCCAAGAAACCATCTCCGCAGACTTGACTTTTTGCAAACAGAGGGGATGCACAATTCTGGAAAGGCGGGAAGGGGCAAACTGTTTCCTTCCCCCACACAGGGTGTCTGCCGGTGTGTGGAGAGCTCTGCCAGAGCGAATTCTGGTCCTGGGCTCTGACCCTGCTGTCTCAGTCAGCGCTCCAGCAGTCCGCCACTGCCACTGCGCACGCCTGACGTATTTGCATGGTCATTTCCTCCCATTTTTCTGCTTATTCATCCTGTGGTCTGTGTTCCTTTGGGCAGCACCTCCCCCCCCCCCCCCCCGGGGGGGTGTGGTGAGGGATAACATTTTCAGGACTTAAATCTATCTGATAAGTTCTAATTTTAGCCAAGCCCCGTGACCTTTCCTCCTGGCTTCTTGCTTTGTTAGGCCCACACACTCCTCAGCCCTGTGCCGCTTTCTCACTGGTCACCCAACCCGCGACTGACGCTCTTGTGCCAGGGTTTTCCTGACTGGCTGGAGTCAAGTTGAGCATTTCCAGAGCAGGGACATTTTCTCCTGGGTGTGGGGTGCTGGTTTTAGCGGGGACATTTGCTCCCACCTCCTGCTTCCCCTGCCCGCTGTCTGTCATTTCCTTTTGTCGGTCAATTTATGTTATCTTGATGAAGGATACCCACTTTAAAACACACACACACACACACACACACACACACACACACACACACACAGACATCTGTGAGTTCTGATGATTAGCAAGGCCGCCTGGCAGCAGCAATGTCCTGTAGCCACTAAGACTTCCAAAGTATGACAACTTATCCCTGCAGCCTTTGAATTGAGATTTGATCAAAGCAGCCAGTTGTTCTCCCAAATGGAGGAAGAGGGTTTGGTTTTGGATCTGGTGTTATATGATCTCGGCCTATTGCTTTCCCAGACAGTATGCGGGAACTAAACTTCTCACTACTTTATATACGCATAGTTTCTCCTTTAGGCCTTTGGCCCAGCATGCCCCTTCCTCAAATATAACCAAATATGGGTCCAACTAAAGCTCTCGGAGTAAGGAGTTTGGGAAGGAGGACGGGGCCTGACTGGAAACGTTCCCTGGAGAGGGGTGTGCATGGGAACGCTGCTGCCCGGCCACTTGCACTGCAGGGCCTCTGACATCATCTGGCTCACAATGGACGGGCTGTGTCACTAACTGCTGTCACCCATCCTGCATATGACCACTCTAACTAACACTGTAAGGGCGCTGGGAAATGGGATAGCTTCATAAGGTGGAACACTCTCACCAAATGACTTCCTACTGATAAAACCTGTGTAACTGATGGTGTGGTGGACTCAATGGCATGGTTTGAGCTTTTGGGCTGTTTCGGTAGGGGCTGGGGCAGGTCAGGCAATGGGAGCTGTTTCTTTCCTAGAGATAGACCATGGTAGAAAAGATGTACAAGAAGTATTCTAGGTCTGGGAATGTACCTCTGAGCATGCAGAAGGCCCTGGGCTGAATCCTCAACTCTGCTGGGGTGGAGAGGTGGAGTCCTGTGTTTGTCCAGAACTCTAGAGGTGTTAGTAGTTTAGGGGGTCAGATCAAGACTTAGTATGTCAGCCTATTTTATCCCATCCAGATCCCACAGAGGCACTGTCTTAGCCCATTTTTCATTCTTATAATGCAATACCTGAAGGAGGTTGATAGTGTTCCCAGCCCAAGATTATATGGCTCCACAGGTGTAGTCAGAGGCTGCTTGTTCGTTTCCTAGCCGCCCAGACCTGAAATAATCACACAGAAAATGTATTCATTGCAAAACTGTTTGGCCAATAGCTTAAGTGTATTTCTAGCTTGTTCTTACATCTTAAATGAACTCATCTCCATTCATCTGTGCATCACCAGGAAGTAGTGGTCTACCAGCAAAGTTGCAGCAGGATCTGGCAGGCTTCTTTCTCCTCCAGGAGCTACATGACTTCTCGACTCGGCCGACTCTCTCCTTAGCATTCCCACCTTGCCCTACTCTGTGCTGCAATAGGCCCAAAGTAGCTTCTTTATCAACCAATGGTTTTCATAGCCTACAGAGGGGAATCCCTAATCACATGGGTGATACATTCCACATAGTGCTGGAAACCATTGTGGCGGGAGTTAGCCTGTGAGCCAGCGAGCGACTCAGGAGCCATGACCACTCATCCTCCAGCAGACCAGCGTTTGTTTCTCAGCCCCGTGACCTCAAGCACACCTACAAGGCCTTACCTTTTAAGGGTCCCACCAGCTCTGTGTGGCCACACAGGAAACAGGCTTCAACCAACCAGATCCTACCAAGCATTTCCGTTCCTTGATAGGAGGGACAGAAGCGTGTCCCAGTGGCCTGCCTCCTGAGGCAGAGAGCCTGTTCCACTAAAAATACATTCATCATTTTACACGTGTTACACACTTTGGCGAAGACTCGGTCTGTCATGGCAGCTTGTGGAGAGTCAGTCGAGGGTCAGAGTCCTTCAGTCCCCTTTTGCCACTGGTCTCTAAAGCTAGCTGACTGTGGCTGTAGAGAGCAGAGAGAAAATGTCTCAGGCTTTCTATTGCTGTGAGGAGACACGATGACCTCATTAACTCTTTTTAAGGCAGACACTGAATTGGGACCGACTTACCGTTCAGAGGTTTCGTCCACTGTCATCACGGCGGGAAGCTTGCTAGCATGTGGCCGACAAGGAGCTGCAGAAGTAATTAAGAGTTCTCCGTTCAGATGTGAAGGCAGTGGGCAGAGAGACATTCACACTAGAACTGGCTTAAGCATCTGAAACCTTAAAGCCAGCCTGCCCCCAATGGCAGTGGTACACTTCCTCCAACAAGGCCACACCTCCTAATAATGCCACTTCCTATGAGCCTATATGGGCCATTTCTATTCAAACCACCACAGAAAAGAATCCCAGTGGCCAGTACTCTGGCCAAGGAGGAGGTGGCAGGGCAGTCCCACAGACTGGAGCCTACATTGCTTCCCTCTCACCCCACTTCCAATCAGGTCTCTCATTTGAACTGGAGGGATAACCATTTTAGACACTGCCCCTTCCTGCTAGTTCGCAGCAAGAGGAGGTGCCTGACATTGGAAGAGTCTCGGGTCCATTCCTATCACTGTTACTTTGGAAGAAAAACAACAGAATAGAAAGACCTTTGACTGGTGAGATGGGCCCAGTGGGTAAACACACAATCCTGATGACCAGAACGCATGTCTTAAAAAGTCAGATCTGATAGTTAGTGTCTGTAGTTTTAGAACTACCACCTCTATGGAGAGATGGGAGGTAGGGACAAGAGAATCAAGGCAGAGACAGGAGGATGGGTTGGAAGCTCAGATACACAACATAGTGCCAGAAATAACAAGAGAGACCCTGCCTCAAAAGCAAGGTGGGAGGAGAGCTCCAACTCCCGAAACGGTGTTCTCTAACCCATACATAAAAGTTATGGCACACACACCTGCACACACAGAGAACAAAAAAGGACTTACAGTAAGGACAGCACTCCTCTGGTTTCTTACATCTCTTGTGATGGCAATATGGTCCTTTTCTCTATTACTTGGTGCCCAAACTGACCTCAAACTCACAGAAACTCTCCTGCCTCTACCTTCCAAATACTGGAATTATAGGTGTAATTAAAGGCATGCTGCTGTTTTCTCTAATTCCAGATACACAGTTGGCATGCCATTCTGAGTGCCTGGGTGTGTGGACGTGGGTAAAAACCACGAGCCTTTGAAATAGGCCATGGGGGCTGTGATCTTGGGTAAGCTCTACCCTCTGTGTACATCTTTTTCTTCAGCTGTAAAACGAAGCACTCTTCTTGAAGGCTTTTCTAAGGTTTATTCATTGAATATTTGTAGAATCTTAGTGTGAAAGACATTATGGTCAAGATTCCATAGCGTCTGCCCAATTGCCACGTCCACGGGTGCTGGATTCACATCTACTAAAGTAGAAGGTGAGACAGTCACTTGTTACCAGTCACAGGAGTGGTGGACACTGCCTACCTGCTTCTCTGACAGCTACAGGTCTGTGACGCTGGTTCTCCAGACTGGAGCATTGGGATCAGAAGATACAGATGTCAGGTCTCCTCCATGCAAGCATAAGAATGGCTTCAGGTTCTCATCTCAGAGCTTGGATGGAGGAGCATGGGAGAGGGTGCAGCCTGCTGGGTGACAGTTGCAGCCGCGTCCCTTCCACAGTCCTCCCGACTTAGTGGTGAGCGGCCTAAGCAGATGAAGAAGACCTGACCCACTTGATCGCTTAGAGCCACACAAATCCATCAGGGGCCTGGAAACTCCTGAAGAAGCCTGGCCTCGGTAATGAACTGTACACATGAAAATAATGTTGTTATGAAGCTTCCTCTTCCCGGGGAGGAATTACATCATGGCCATTTCTTATCCTATTAGATTACGGCCAGCTGCCTCTAAAACTAAAAGCTCTTTGCATTTACTATAGGTCAGAGTTAATGCTTTCCCCAGATTCCAGCCATGTGTTTCCCTGCTGTCCCATGAGTAAGCTGTGAAGGTAGAGATGAACACACACACACACACACACACACAAACTTCAAGGCTGCAAAGTGGAGACACTGGTGACATTTAACCACCCGTGACTCTCTCAAAGTCACCAGCCTGAAGGGTTCTGCCAATGCCAGCCAGAGTCTCCTTCCCCGTACCAGGCAGACTTCTTGCTATGAAACCACTACCGTCACACTATAGTCAGATTGCGTGCCTCTGCCACAGGACAGGAAGTGAGGGAACTCGACTGCCAGATTCTGGACTCAGGAATTCGCTTCTGCTGCAGTATTTTTGGGCTTGAAAAAGGCTCAACTCTGACAGAGGGAAGGACAATGGCCCTGAGAGTGAGACGACTCAGTTTGCCGAAGTCTTGTACCTAATTCACTTTCTGTCACAGCTTGCTGGCTGCATCAGGCAAACAAGGAAAACTCTGACTCTCTAGTGTTGTGTGAGAAACAAGTGGAATTTGGAGGAACTTTATTTCGAAATTCCAAGCCAGCTACTCTAACTCCGCAATTCAAGTTATCCTTTCGTGCCTTAATTTCCTCCTTTGTTTTTCATTCAGCTTTTTTTCTTTACTGTCTCACTCTTTAGCGTTGGCTGATTTAGAACTCGCTACAGAGAGTAGACTGACCTTGAACTCACAGTGAACCTCTGCCTTTGCTTCTGCCCCTACCCAGTCTTCTTCTTTGTAACCTTGCTCACCTTCCTCCCCTCTAATGAGAACTCAATTACTCGCTTTACTGACTTCTTCCAACTAAAATGTGTGTGTGTGTAGGGGTGGTTTTTGTTGTTGTTGTTTTTGTGCATGTGTACCAAAGGATAAATGTCCCCACCAAAAGGGACAGTCACACAGTCTACATGTAGCTTCAGAAGTTATTGTTAAGTAAATCATCAAAAATGAGGGACAGGAAGACCCAGAGTCACTTGGGTGACAGATGGAACTGTGTGGAGGCAGGGGAGGTAGTTAAAATCACTAGTATGAAGATTTGAGGAATGTGGGTGGTAGATACCAGCCAATTTCCTGCCTGTCCTGGGCTACTGTATCCCATAATAACAGCTAAGAGCCCTCTGGTTACACTCCCTGGGCAGCTCCAGGGTTCAGCCTCATTGGCAGTGAAGGCCTGGTGGCTGATTCCAGGCCTGGAAGGAAAGGGACGCGAAGTTGGTGCCAACTGACTACTTGTCAGCCCCAAAGCTGTTCCTCCATATGCAATCACACAGATTTACGGTCAACCTTTCTCCTTTGACTTACAGTAGGGATCATCTCTGTCAGTGGAGGATGCTAGGAGACACCACAGAGCTTCCCTGCTTCCGCGCACACCCTTTGCCACTCGCACGCCTACCTGCTCTCTTGGGGGTAACCTGTAGCGTAGATGGTCACAGCTGTCGCGTCCAGGAGGTACCAGCCCTCTAGAAGTCCTATCTCTACGGGCCCATCCTGGGTGCTGTGCTGGCTACACCCAGTGTGTGACAGGCTACAGCCTAATCCTCTCCAAGGGGTCCGTAAGCTGACCCCATGCTGGAACAGCCCATCCAACTTTGCTCTCCACTCTCCTTCTAATGCTTCCCTTCCTCAGCTCCAGGGTTGTCTTGACTCTCCTTCTAATGGCTTCTCTTCCTTTGGCCCAGAGTGTCCTTATTTACTAACGTGTGTCCATTCACAGTTTTGCATGTAAAACCTTTCTTGTTCAAGTCACCATTCCCATCTGACAGAGAACTGTCCTAGGAATTAGTTCCAGAAGACAGGTCCCGCCTCCTGAGTGCACAGGCACCTACAGATGGCACTTGGGGTGCTGGGGTTAAGTGCAGCACTCCCCGCTGTGGCAGGTAGCTGGGTTCAGTGGACCGAGCAATCACCTGTGGGCAACTGTGACTAAACGCCAATGGTTGCACATTCTCTGCTTCTCCCCTACCCCGCAGGCGCTTGACTGCTGTGACCGTTGTGTGGACTGCGACTCTGCGCGAACTTTCTGGCCATTACCAGAGTATTTGCTGAGTGAAAATGGCAAGGTTGCGTCCTTTACCCTCAGTCTGGGTCGCCGTCTGAGAACCTGAGCTCCGATTTCGGCTCCAAGGGAGTTATTTCTGCTGGCTACTGAGCTGATACTGCTGGGGGTAAGCTGTAAAGAGTAACTGTGTGAGCTCTTGAATCACAACACATTCGCTGCATTCCAAATCTCGCACAGTAGAATGTAGGGTGTGAAATGAGAAAGGACGGAATTCTGCAACATGGAACGCTGTCAGGCTCTGATAAAAGGGACAGTCGCTATAAAGATTTTACTTTTACATTAACGTCGTACGAGCAAACGCACGTCAGCATGAAGGCGTGTGAGTACCGCGGCCTGAGTGTGGTGGTCAGAGGACAACTGGAGGGAGCTGGTTGTCTCCTACTGTATGGGTCCTGGGGGCTAGAACTCAGGGAGTCAGGCTGAACGGCAAGTATCTTTACCTGATGAACCATCTCATTGACCCACAAACTGACCATCTTGGAGCCCCAAGTTACATCCCTTGACTCTGGTGTCTGAAGACACTAGTTTTCTTTCGCATGGGAATCCCGTGCCTCAAGAGGGAAGTCTCCTTCTCCCCCAGGCCCTTCTCCAGCTGTCCTTAGCTGCTGTTTCCCTCCCAGCTACGTCCTCAGTGCACTCCAAGGACGCTCATCTGATGTGATCTGAGAGGACACAGGTTAGATGGAGCCCAGGTGAGCTTAGAGACATCGCTAACACATTACAACTGCCCTAGGGAACATGCATGGGTGAGGAGCGACTGCTGGACCTTGAAGATCTGGGATTAATGTCCAAGTCACTGTGACTCTCACAGTTCTGTGGGCTGTAATTAAAGCTGTCCCTTTCACTTTCTTTTAGTGACAGCAGAGAGCATAGAGTTCAACCAGCTATTAATACCGCCACACTCACTATGATCATTATTCTTTGTGTAACTATTCTCAGGATATGTTATATTTAAAAAGAAATCTGTCTCCAGGATCTGGGAGATGGCTGAGTCAGTTACGTGAGTACTTGGGTTTTGTTACCAGCATCCTCATAAAGGCCAGGTGGGACAGCAGAGTATGACTCTAAGCCCAGAGTCGGGGAGGTGAAGACTGGGTATTGCCAGCCAGTCCAGCTGAACCGTCGGGTTCCAGGTTCCTTGAGAGGGACTGTGGTAAAAGCTGAGGTAACAAGCCATTAAGAAAGATACATGTGAGTCAACTTCCGGGAGCCAGACATGCATGTGCACGCCAGAACATGCACATATGAACACACACAAACACACACA